GAGTTGCAACTTGCAATATTGTCCTGAATTCCTAAACTATTTGAATCTATAACAAATCATCCATTGATGTTTTCGCACAAGTTAAGCATTTAATTACAGGCAAACACCATGGTTTTGTTAAAGGACGGTCAACGACTACTAATCTGTTGAATTTTTAAAATTTTCTTTTTACGAAATGGGACATTATGTCAAAGCACTATATACTGACTTCAGTAAAGCGTTTGATAGAGTTGATATCCCTCTTTTGCTACTCAAAGTATCAAAGCTGGGTTTTAGTCAACAGTTATTAAAATTGATTCAGTCATACTTGACCGGTAGAACACAAAGAGTTAGATTTGAAGGAGATGTATCGTCAGTAGTTAATGTAACATCTGGTGTGCCACAAGGTTCCCATCTTCCATAATATATTTGTTAATGATGTAGAGCACATATTGAATATCCTGAATGTCTCAATATATGCAGACGACATGAAACTTTTCCTGGAAATTCATGATCAACAAGAAATTGATAACTTTTACATAAGGTGCACACAAAGTTTATTGAAGCCTAATGTGAATTCCATTTCATTTACACGACAGCAAATTATTAGGCAAGAACATGTAACAATAGGAAAAAAACAGAGTTGAAAAGTGCAATAAAGTTAGAGATTTAGGTGTTATACTTGATTCTAAATTAAGCTTTGTTGAGCATTATAATAAAATTATCTATAAGGCAAACAACATGCTAAGTAGGGTTTATTAAAAGGTTTAGTTTTCATTTCAATGATCCATACACAATCAAAACATTATACGTAGCATATGTAAGGCCCCTCCTTTAGTACTGTAACATAATCTGGTCTCCATATCAAGATACGCATATAAACCGCATTGAATCTTTCCAAAAACAGTTTATATTATTTGCTCTAAGAAAGTTAGGCTAGACGAGTTACCCTTACCATCTTATGAGTCTCGATATATGTTGATCAATTTGGATGCACTTGAAAAGCGAAGGCAATTCGCAATGATAGCTTTTATAAACGATGTTGTAGCGCAAAGAGTGAATGCTACAGAGATTTTTGAAAATCTAAATTGTTATGCTCTCACTCGTTCCTTAAGAAACAGAAATATGTGTTATATTAATAACCAAAGAACAAACCATGCCAGGAATGCGCTTTTAAATAGAATGATGTCTTGTTATAATGAACATTATGAAAAAAATGATTTGACAATGAACAAAATGCTCTTAAAAAATGTTTCTTTTCGAGGTTAATTTGAATTTACTGTTTATAAGAGGATATAAACATTTGAGATATTTGTTACATTTGGCTTGAATGCCCTCAATGTGATCTTTAAAAGTTAATTTTTGGTCAAGTACTAATCCAAGATATTTCACTTGGTTTGACCAGCAAATTGGAACTCCGTTCATTGTGACTATGTGACTACTACTAGGTTTCAAAAACGAAGCTCTAGGCTTATGTGGAAATATTATAAGTTGGGAGAAATCTTCCATTTTTGTAAATAAGAAGAGAAAATATCTAAACTTTTCTGCAGTCTGCTGCAAATAACACGAAGACTTCATCATCAGCGAACAAAGATTTCTGGCAACTCTGAGGCAAATCAGGGAGGTCCGAAGTGAAAATGTTATACAATATAGGCCCAAGAATGCTACCCAGATGAACTCCTGCTCTAACAGGTAGTTGTTCAGATTAGGATTTTTGATAATTTACCTGCAGAGTTCTGTTAGTTAAATAATTTTTAACTAATTTCATAATATAAAGTGGAAAATTAAACTTTTTCAATTAAGCAATCAAACCTTCATGCCAATCACTGTCGAATGCTTTTTGTATGTCTAGAAGAGCAACTTCAGTTGAGCAGCCTTCAGATTCGTTTGAACGAATTAAATTGGTAACTCTTAAGAGTTGATGAGTAGTTGAATGCTCATCAAACTGCTCATCTGCAAAAATTGAGTTAGTATTGATGTGATTTACTGTACCCAGATAACAGCGCCAAACGATAACGTTGAACTGCATCGTTGCAAGAAAACACGCATCTACGAACTCACACCACTGAGCGGACGATATGTACAGCGCAAATCAAAACACGAATCGGTGTCATCAGCTTCGGCAGCTTCCGATTGCGTTTGCATTCGCTGGCGTTTTTTCCATGTTTACTACTATGCTTATAAGGATTATTTTGAGCAACAGCTTTGCAAATTATCAATTACTATTAGAGATTTACATCTTACTGATACCGATGGTGATATTTTAAACTCTTTCACTCGAAAGCAAAACATATTACAAGCCCATCATGATGTGAGCTTGAATGTGTTTTCTCAAGTGTTTCTGTTGCGTATAAAGTTGTAATGATTGAAAATCGGAGCAATCACAAAAAAGTGAGAATTTTGCTATCGCAATATAATCATAGAGGTAACTATAAGACTAGAAGGTCCCGAAGAAACATGCTCATCTTTTTGGCTCAGCTCTGGTACTCTCTTCGGCCCCAACCTAATCTATGCACCCTCGAAACATAGGAAAATCGACGAACCCCTCATTTTATCCGTCAAATTTTCATAGCGAACCAAAACAAACATAGTGTAGTACTACCATAGAGGTAACTCTAAGACTAGAAGGTCCCGAAATAACGTGCTCAACTTTTTGGCTCAGCTCTGGTACTCTCTTCGGTCCCAAGCTAATCGATTCACCCCTCAAACCATAGGAAAATCCGAGGGGGATGACTCTACGATGCAGAAAAGATTGTGTTTTGCTGTGGCTAACTGCACGCACGCTGAGTAGATAGAAAGAAGATTTATGTCGATTTTGAAGATTTCCTGCAAAAAGATGAAGCACGATGCAAGTAGATGCGAGAAATGAAAGATGATTTTTCGAAGATTGATTCGCTAGTGTGAGATTTTTTGAGCATCTAGAATTGAGATTTAGATGTATCGCCCCCCTCGGGAAAATCGACTAACCCCTCATTTTATCTGTCAAACTTTCAAAGCGAATCAAAACAAATATTGTGTAGTAGTAGATTTTTGACTAGAATGGGGTACGTTAATCGTTTGCTTGGGACCAATAGGCTACCCGACCAGAAGGGTATAACAATAAAATAACAAGATTATAACAAGCCTTGTTATGGATAACTGATTATGATATAATTAAGTTAAGGAAACTGATCACCAAGAAAATAATATAATAAATCTTTAACAAATTTAAATGCATTGATTTTTTTATGATTTTGTAACTGATTCTTAACAAGATTTTATCACAACCAGATATTAATGACCAAACTACAATAAAAAATCAAATCTATTTTTTCTAGTGTTTTTCAAGCATTATATTTTCTATGAGTTTGATAATGTTTTGTATTTCATTTACACAGTTAATCAATCTGAGTTTTTGATTTACAAAGTGAAATATATGATTATAACACGATTTGATATAATTTTGTAATAGCACAACAGAATTGTGTTGCAAAATTTGTTATGTTTTTGTTATGAAAGTAACATAGTGAAATATATTTTTGTTGTATCTAGAGGAAATTTTTGTTACATTTTTTGTTATTTTAACTACATCCGGAATCTTAAGTGTAACAAACCGTGTTACTAATTATAGTGAAACAAAATAACACAAGCTGTAATAAATTTATTATTCCCTTATGGACGGGTAGTCAAGTAGTGAGCCAATTTTAAATCGTTAGTTTCGTATTGATTGTTGGTACTACCACCGGTTGGAAACTAACGATTTAAAATTGGCTCACTACTCGACTAGCCTATTGGTCCCAAGCAAACGATTAACGTACCCAATTCTAGTCGAAATTCTAGTACAGTTTTTGATATTTATCCACAATTAAATACATCCATTCATCTATGTTAATGAGGCAGACTTCGCAATTAGTTGTTTTAATAAACTTAAATTCATTGCTAGAGGCAATACATCTGGCACCGCTGTTTCAATGATACTTTCACGATTGCTAGCAAAACAATAAAGTAGAAATGGTATTCTTTGTGATAAATTTTGTTCACCAAGAGTTTTGTGAAGCAGTCGTTTTGAGTTTCGTGCATTCGATTGCGTTTAATTGTGCTATACTTCGAAGAACACAAGAAAGTAAATACAGTGAATGTGTTTTACCCAGGAAATTTTCGATCTAAGATCACGAAATACATGTTTTAAATTTTCGTATTCTTAATATATGAATGTATGTGTAAACTAATGATGATGATTTTATGATATTTAAAAAAGAAGAAGAACACAAAATTACTTACCTTTTGTAGAACCTTAAGTATTCTGTACAATAGTCTTCTCTAGCCCATTGCCGCGCTTTTGTTATAATTATAAAATTTTGCGCGTGGCTTTGCCCTCTCCCCTGATAGAGTTGTGAGGGTAATAGTAGTTGTTGTTGTTGTTGTTGTTTATTATTGACATTTTACATCCTGCGGATGCATTCATGTCAGTTCAATTGATTTTTGTGTAAACAGTGTGTGGGTGTGTTCAGAGTGATGTGAGGGTGAGTGTTAGTGTTTACGATACAATTCAAAATTCACTTAGCTTTCTTATCGTTTGCTCGTTTCCTGGTTCATCGTCTGCATGCTCATCTCATGGTTTACACTTCTTCTCCATAAATTTCTTCTTTACTTCTTCTATATATATATATTCACCATCTTCATTCTTCATGATCTTCCATATATCTTTTTCACATTATTTTTCGATTTCTCCGTTCCTTCCTTGCGCTTCATATTTATCTTCATTCTTCTGCATCTTTCTTCTGTAGTACTTTCGTTTTCTGCTTCATCTTCATCCTTTTTCACTTTATCTTCTTCGATTTCCATTCAGCATCTTCTTCATGAACTCATTTGCTTCCAACATTCATCGGTAACATTCTTCCACTGCATCTTCTTCCATTTCCTGTCCGACATCTTCTTCCATTCAGACTTCATTTTTCTTCTGCATCGCTTGCTTGTTCTTCATCCTCCGCTTCGTTTTCTTCCTATATCCTGCATTTTCCTTTCCATTCTATCTTCGCCCTTCAAAGCTTCCGATAAAGTTTGGTTTCATGCAGAAACTTCAGCAACCGCTTCTCATAATCATCGTCGTTGCGTAACGCCGTAAAAAGGCTTGTGGAATCGATTCCGTATTTCGTCCTGGCCGCTTCAAATTTTCTGCAGTGCAGAATAATGTGACGAACGTCAACAACGGTCCCACAGCATTCACATGCTGGCGGAGCTGTTTTCTTCAGCAAAAATTCATGCGTAACCCTAGTATGACCAATGCGCAGACGAGTGAGTATGCGTTGATCGGCAGAGCTGTACTGATCGATCCACTTCTTCGTTTCCCTTTTGACCTCCTTCAGCTTCACATCTGTCAATTGTGCCCAACGTGCTTCCCATAGCTGACGAAAGACTTGGTTCATGTTCTTGATGGAATCAATTATTGGTACGGCAACGTTGATTGGTGGACTGTTTCGTGCTTCACTGGCTAGACGGTCTGCTTCTTCGTTACCGCGAATTCCAGCATGACCAGGGATCCAACAAAGGTGGATCGGCCGTCCACGTAGTAAGCGCTCGATTTCCTGGATCCACGGATGCTGCGATCTACCACTCTCTATGGCCGAAAGACAGCTGGCCGAATCAGACAGAATTATAACACATTCGGTTGATGCTCTTGCAGCGATGACGGCCGACTTGATTGCAAAGGCCTCCGCCGAAAAAACGCTACATTGTGACGGAAGACCTATTGCTTGCTGAATGCTGCTACTAAATACACCTGCTCCAACTATGTTCTCGCATTTAGAACCATCCGTATAAATAGCCAAACCACGGCTAAACCGGTTAGCCAGCAACTCCTGCACGATGGGACGCACTGTATTCGGGGGGTCCCCAGCTTTCACCTTCCGTTTCACATCCCAAACAATATGCGGCTTGGGTTCATACCACTCTCTGTTGGCTAGACGTGTTCGAACAGCGATGTTTGGAAGCTCTACATCAATCGTCGCCAGGCGATCGGACGCTCGTTCCACAACTGGAAGATCGATATTCCTGGAATCCTTCTCCATCAAACGAATTGCAGCACGAATTATGGCTTGCATAATCATTAAATCGAATGGCAAAGTGCCTGCTTCAGCCATAATCGCTGGAATCGGACTGGTGACGTACGCCCCTGAGGCGAACCGGACCATCCGGTTGTAGATGGGTGCAAGAGTCTGCACCACCGAATCCTTCGCTCTACTGACGAGCCCGATACCGTAGATAAGTCGCGACGTGACGATTGCTGATCCGATACCCAACAGAGAATCGCGTTGCCCTCGCGGAAGTTTAGCCCCTATCATCTTCAAGATCCGCAGTCTAGAGTCGCACGTGTTTTTGACTACCTTGCAATGGTGTTTGAAGGACAGCGACCGGTCAAGGTTGACGCCAACAACTTTCAGATGATTCGTCCTCGGTACAGCTGTACGGTCGATGAATATATCGTTGCTGGGTTCTCGACGGGCGTTGGGACTGCCGTAGAAAATTTTTGATTTTGTCGCGGAAATTGTGAAGCCGACGCTTTTCGCCCATTTGTCGACAGCTTTCACTGCAGCCTGTAGATCTCTATACAGAGGACGCTCCTTACTCCTCCGTACCACCAGCAAAATATCGTCCGCATAGAGAAGCACGGCAACAGTATGCGGCACCACTCTGAAAATCGGCTGCATCGCTATAAGGAATAACGTGACAGACAACACTGATCCTTGGGGGACTCCGTTCTCCAATGGCATTTCATCCGATAAATGTTCTTCCACGTTCACCCGGAAAGATCTGTCGGTGAGGAAACTGTTCAGTACGTTGAACATGCGCCCACCCATCTGCCACTTACGCAGAGTACGCAAGATACCGTACCGCCAAGTGGTGTCGTACGCTTTCGACAAATCAAGCGATGCAATCAAGCAGTGTTCGTCCCGATTTGGCAATGACCTATCCAACTCCGCCAAGTATGTGTCGACGCCTCTTCCAGCTCTAAAGGCGTGCTGCCTCTTATCCAGTCGTCCATTCGACTCCAACTCAGTCGTCAATCTGCGGTTCACGATACGTTCGAACACCTTTGCGATGCAGTTGGTCAAAGTGATAGGTCGGAAAGCAGCAGGTCCAGATTCAGAACAGTTTGGCTTCGGAATCGGCACTATTATTCCGGTTCGCCAGCTGATAGGGTAAACGCCACTACGCCAGATTCTGTTTAGAAGCTGCAACAGCGCGATTTTGACGGATACAGGCAGACGTCGGATCATCGGATACCCTACCGAGTCAGGACCTGTAGAGACACTACGTCCTTTGTCGAGTGCCCACAGAAGCTCATCCAGGGTGAAGTCCGCGTTATATATCTCGTCGTTGTCCGGAAGAAAATCCACGCGATCCCGTTCCGCTCTTTCCTTCGCTGTTTGAAACAGTTGGGGATAGCTTGAGGTCGCTGATCTCTCACAGTAGTGCTCGGCCAGTTCTTCTGCTATTTCTTCCACTTTCTCCGTGTAGCCATCGGGTCGCTTGATAACCGCCTTGCTGTATTGTCGTTTGCCTCTCAGGGTGTTCATCGTCCGCCACATTTCTGCCGTTGTGCTGCTAGGTGATATTTTTCCGACAAAGTCCTCCCACGAATGTTCCTTTGCTTCCTTCACTGCCTTCTTAGCCGCTGCCTTCGCTTCCTGGAACTGCTTCAAAACATCCGTTGTGTCTGATCCTGCTATTCTGCTGCGCTTCAGTGCTCTCAGAAGTTTTCGACGCTGCTTAATCGTCGTTTTCACTTCCGGGCACCACCATGGTACCGATTTGGAATCAACTCGTCCTGATGTTCGAGGAATGCTAGCGGTTGCTGCTGATAATATCCGATCTACGAACTCATCAACGCCAATCTCGTCATCCGGTTTGATGCTGCTGGAAGTCAGTCGTTCGAACAATGTCCAATCTGCTTGGTCGTAGAGCCATCTTCTTCGCTTCGTGGCGATCTGTGAGAATTCAGGTGAAGAGACGGTGATTGGAAAGTGGTCACTGCTGTGGGTATCCGGAAGTGTTCGCCAGATAAATCTGGGAGCTAGCACCTCTGAACAGATCGAAAGATCTATGGCAGAAAACGAACCGTTTGCTGGATCCACCCGCGTGTGTGATCCGTCATTCAGGATTATCAGATGCTCCGACAGTGTCTTTTCAGCGATGTAGCGGCCAAGCGCATTCGATGCCGTAGAACCCCAGGCGGGATGGTGCGCATTGAAGTCGCCAAGTACCAAAATTGGCGGGGGCAGACGCTCCAAGAAATCATTTAGTTCTGTTTGGCACTGTTGCTGGGAGTTCGGAGATATGTAGATCGACACTACCGTCATTGGAGTCGGAAGATGGATGCGAACTGCAATGGCTTGAATATCACAATTGATATCGATGCGCTCGAATGGAACCCCTTCACGGATGGCAAGGCCCACTCCTTGCTGCCAGTATCGACGACTACCGGTTTGAAGAAGCAGGGTGTAGTTCTTGCCGGCAAAGTCTGGCGCGACCACACGATTATCCACTTTCGTCTCTTGCAGCGCTATAACGGACGGTTCATGCTGGCTGATGAGCAATTTGAGCTCGCTGATGTTGGCACGTAGACCACGTATGTTCCACTGGAGGGCAATACATTTCGTGGGATGACTACTGCTGACTGTTGCTGATGACGAAGATGATGCTGACGGTCTACGCGTTGGACTTGACATATCGGCCGGATTCCAGGAGGAAACAGAGGGTGCAAGACACTCGTGACTGGTCCCACTCTCGTCCCCCTGAACATCCGACTAACCCCTCATTTTATCTGTCAAACTTTCAAAGCGAATCAAAACAAATATTGTGTAGTAGTAGATTTTTGACTAGAATGGGGTACGTTAATCGTTTGCTTGGGACCAATAGGCTAGTCAAGTAGTGAGCCAATTTTAAATCGTTAGTTTCGTATTGATTGTTGGTACTACCACCGGTTGGAAACTAACGATTTAAAATTGGCTCACTACTCGACTAGCCTATTGGTCCCAAGCAAACGATTAACGTACCCAATTCTAGTCGAAATTCTAGTACAGTTTTTGATATTTATCCACAATTAAATACATCCATTCATCTATGTTAATGAGGCAGACTTCGCAATTAGTTGTTTTAATAAACTTAAATTCATTGCTAGAGGCAATACATCTGGCACCGCTGTTTCAATGATACTTTCACGATTGCTAGCAAAACAATAAAGTAGAAATGGTATTCTTTGTGATAAATTTTGTTCACCAAGAGTTTTGTGAAGCAGTCGTTTTGAGTTTCGTGCATTCGATTGCGTTTAATTGTGCTATACTTCGAAGAACACAAGAAAGTAAATACAGTGAATGTGTTTTACCCAGGAAATTTTCGATCTAAGATCACGAAATACATGTTTTAAATTTTCGTATTCTTAATATATGAATGTATGTGTAAACTAATGATGATGATTTTATGATATTTAAAAAAGAAGAAGAACACAAAATTACTTACCTTTTGTAGAACCTTAAGTATTCTGTACAATAGTCTTCTCTAGCCCATTGCCGCGCTTTTGTTATAAAATTTTGCGCGTGGCTTTGCCCTCTCCCCTGATAGAGTTGTGAGGGTAATAGTAGTGCAACTTCTTACAACTAGTGCAATTTTTTTTTTAATTTTTTTTTTGTTTTCCTCGGTTGTTCATACACTGGGCAACAAAATATTAAAAACTAGTAGTTAAGTAGATTAATTTGTGGAGGATTTTTTTTTCTTTCCTTTTTAAGCGGTTGTGCAACGCTTTTGCACAACACTCATGATATCTTCGGATACCTACGTTGCTCGATACTACCAACCGTCTTCGAAAGGAATGGGATGTCTTTTTTCGGCCTAAAAATAAACCTTTGAAAACTCTCGACATTTTGAGAGACTTGCTGCGTAAGTATCCGGGAATCTTGGTACATAAGGAAAGATTCAATAAACTGCGTGTAGAAGCACCGACTTATGATGTGGCAAATAAAATTGCTGAACACGAGCTGTTTAGTGTGGAGTATAACATCTACATCCCTTTTCGAGATGTGGAGATAGAAGGTGTGGTCTCCAACGCGAGTCTGAGTGTCGAGGACTTAAAACGAGCATCGGGTTGCTTCAAAAACTCGAAAATCGGAGAGCAGGTACAAGGATGTCAGGCAACTGCATTCAGTATCTTTGCAAGATGGCAAGAAAGTTTATCAGCATTCAGACTCGTTTCGGGTGACTTTCGCTGATTCAGTTCTCCCAAACTTTGTCAAAGTTGATGATGCTTTTTTTTCCGGTGCGGTTGTTTGTACAGAGGGTATATAATTGTACCAACTGCAAAAGGCTGGGACTCTCAGCCAGCCATTGCGGCAACAAAACTCGTTGTGGCAAATGTGGTGAAAACCACAAAGAGGATTCTTGCCACAAAGAATCAGTAAAATTCGCTTACTGTGGCGATAATCCTCACCCCTTGCAGGAGTGCCCGATGTACAAGCAGCACTCCGATAAAGTGCAGCGTTCAATCTCAGGACGCTCCAAGCAGACATATGCTCAAATGGTGAAGGCTGCATCAGCCGTCCAAGATGCAAACCAATTTTCGATTTTGTCAGCTGAAGAATCGGACTCTGACTCATCCGATGAAGGTGATTCTACGGTGGTACACGCACCTTCAAAAATCGACGGATCCTCAAAAAGAAAATACCCCTCCCCGAAAGTGCGCCGTAAGAAAACTAAAGTCACCTCCAGAAGATTGGCAAATTCCCAGGGTAATGGGGATGAAAAAACGAAACCGAAGGCTCTTGCCAATCCCTGGATGCTACAGGAATTTTCCGCCATTACCCAACAAAGATAAGAAAAACAAAAAAGCTGCTCCTCAAACTTCTCAAAAGAAATCCAAGTCCGAACGCGGTTTGCTAGCTTTTTCGGACATTGTGGAATTCATATTAAATATGTTCAACAAACAAGACCCTCTTAGAAGCTTAGTTTCTGCCAACATTAGAATCATATCTTAAGCAATTGACTGTTTCATGGCCCCTCCTTGCATCAATCATATCTTTCGATGGATAATTCGTCGAACGAGGTTGAAGATATGATCACTGTGCTACAGTGGAACTACCGTAGTCTAGTGCCGAAACTAGACTCGTTCAAATTTTTACTTCACAATTCTGAATGTGATATATTTGCTCTCTGTGAAACATGGCTTTCTTCCGATAAAGAACTCAACTTCATCGCTTTTAACATTATTCGCCTGGATAGAGACGATTCTTATGGAGGAGTACTTTTAGGGATCAAAAAGTGCAACCCTTTCTACAAAATTAATGTTAAATAAATGTGAAGAACAAAAATCTTTGCATAGCTTTAGTTTATGTTCCACCAAGAACCTCCATTAGCCGTAGTCAACTCGAGAATTTAGTTTCGATTTTTTTTTTTGCCATTTAAATAATCTTTATTTCTTGTGATTGTGTGGTTTACATGTATGAATTTGTTAAGTGACACAGATGCGTCTTTTCAACTTTGGTACATTTGAGATTTTAATTATTATTTACAGTTCCTAGTCCTATCAGGCCTATTTTAAAGTATGACCACCTTGGTGGGATTGGTTTGATTTGAATTGGAAAAAGGAGACTACTTATAACTACTATTTACAACTACAACTAACCTACAACTACTATGTACACCTAACCTACTATATACAAATTGCTTATCAAAGCATGTTCTGATAAATTACATTTTTGTGTAAATTTAGTCTTAATTTCGTTAATTTTGGAATCTATTTTGGCAATGCCTGCCTCTTCATGTAAATTTGTTATTCTAGTGTCGAAAGGACGATCAAGAACCATCCTCAGCACTCTATTCTGAGCTACCTGAATTTTGTTCCTGTGAGTCTGTGCACATGATTCCCACACCGGAGCTGCGTAGAGGATCGCAGGTGCTACGATTTGTTTGTAGACGGCCAGTTTGTACACCCTTGAGAGGCGGGATCTGCGGCAAATCAGCGGATACAGACACCTAACCAAGGCGGAACACTTGACTACGGTTTTCTCCACATGCGAGCGGAATAGGAGCTTTTCGTCAAACAACATCCCGAGATAGGTTACTTCGGCGGACCACTCAACCCTTGTGCCATCCATGATTACAGTACAAGAGGGAGCCGGTTTTAGTTTGGGTGATTGCCGATGGAGGAACATGATTGTTTGTGTTTTGGAAGCATTGATTTTGATTTTCCACGTGGTGGCATAATCAGCAAAGGCGTTAAGGCATCGTTGAAGTTTGTTCGTTATTTCGCGAGGCATCCTTCCTTTGACGGCTATTGCGGTATCATCTGCGAACAGGAAAAACACGCAACCGTCTCCAAGAGGAGGAATGTCGGAAGTGTAAATGCTGTAAAGCAAGGGTCCCAGCAGACTGCCTTGCGGGACTCCTGCTGGGATGGAAAACGTGTCGGAAAGACAACCATTCAACGATACCTTAAACGACCTTTGCTGGAGGTAGTTACGGGTGATTTTAATAAGATGTAAAGGAAAGTTGAAGTTACAAAGCTTGTATACAAGCCCATTGTGCCAGACATTATCAAACGCTTTCTCAACGTCTAACAATGCCATGGCTGTGGACTTGGATACAGCTTTGTTACTTCGGATGTTATTCATCACCCGCACTAGCTGGTGATTGGTGGAGTGCCCCTTTCTGAATCCAAACTGTTCCGGAAGGAGAATGTTATTTTCCTCGACAAACTTGAGCAAACAATTGAGAATGAGTTTCTCGAACAATTTGCTCAGCGCTGAAAGGAGGCTGATTGGTCTGTAGCTTGAAGCTAGCGTTGGGTCCTTCCCGGGTTTGCGGATAGGTATGATTTTCGCTGTCTTCCAGATACTTGGAAAGTAGTGCAGTTCCAAGCATCTGTTGAAGACAGCAGCCAGCAGAGAGTGAACCTTCATGCTGAGATTTTTCAACACTAGGTTGAATATTCCATCAAACCCGGGGGCCTTCATGTTTTTGGTGCATTTCAGCGCTGAGCAAATCTGTTCCACTGTGATTCTATCCTCCGGAGGGATGGCACAAGGGGAGGAATCAAGGTTGAGTACGCATTGCTCAACCTGAACTTCGAGCGGACTTTGGATGTTGGAGCCAAGCAAGTGCGATTTGGCAATATGCTCACCAATCGCATTTGCTTTCTCCTGAGGGGTGATTATGAGCCGATCGTCATCATTTTCATCTTTTAGTGGCGGAATGGGTTTAGGGTGCGTCTTTAAGACCTTGGCAACTTTCCAGAATGGTCTGGAGCGGTCGTCCAGATTCTGGACAAGCCGCCCGAAACTTTCGTTCCGGAGTGAGACCATTCTGGAAGCAATCTCCTTGTTCAGATTGGCCATTTCACGTTTCCTCGCTAGATCTCCAGTTCTCTGAAACTGGCGTCTACGAACATTTCTCAGGCGAATTAAGAGTTGGGTGTGGGAATCAATAGCAATAAACTTACCCCTCACAGGAACTCGTCGGACGCACGCCTCGTCAGCCACGGTTATGGCTTGGTGGAGTACTTCCAACGCTCGGTCGATGTCCTCCACGGAGTCAAGCGGCGGGTTGTCGATGATGTGCCTGTCTACCACGCGTCTAAACTGGGCCCAGTTTACGCGATGGTAGTCCTTGCGCAGGCTTGGAGCAGCAGCTTCG